AATGAATGCTTTGTTTTTAAACTGTGGAAATAAATCGTTTTACTTTATTGGCTGCAGTGGATCTTTCTGCATTTTGAGCTGTAAGAAGTAGAGCAGGCTCATCTGCTCTCTGCTTGTGAGTGAAATTTTTACACACACGTTGTATTATTTTTAAATAGCAATACTTCACTATATATGTTTTGTATTGTATTTCTTTTTATCTAACACCATTTGAAACCAAGGGTTACTGCAAGCATATGATTTTAGTAAGTGTACCATATTTGGTCTTTTACACTAAGTCACTTTACAATCTTGGTATTAAGAATTTTTCATATTGCACTGATAAAGAGTGTTATGAGTGTTTGGATGTAGCACTTGTATTTTTGCACTAAAATGGTATAAATTGTTTGCACTATCTCACTTTATTAATACAGTGAGTTATATTTGCACTTTATAAATATTCAGCGCACTTATTTTTTTGTTTGGATTTTACTGTTGGGTGTTATGAGCTGATACACTTATAGGTGCTGCTTTAAGTAATAAGGTTGTAATCACTGTTATAAGCGTGTTTTTTCACTTGTTTTATCGTTGTTCTATGTGTGAACCTGCAGCAACAGGCAAGTTAGGTTTAGGAGAAGTATTTCAGAGAACAGTTGAATCTGACCCAGCATGGCTGCTCTGACCCAACGTGACATTTTCGAAAAAAATAAATACATATACAGCATTAAAAAAAGCATTAACTGTCTTAACTACAAAAAAAAATGTTTTAAAAGAAAATGAAGTGCATGGATCTCTTGTACGACCATAACAACTTGACAACGGGCTAAATACGGGACTAATAATTGACCCAGTCGATATGTATCTAACGGCTTGTTTATGAAATATTTACTTTCTGTAAAACGTTCTATTGAAGGTGAAAAACTTAATAAATACAGAATGTTGAAAAAAAGAAAAAAAAAAGGAAGTGAAAATATGAGGATCGTTGTGTTTGAACTACCAATAAACACAAGATTTCACTAACAAGGATCTCATAAAAATATATCGACATCAACTTTTATTTTATTTTTTTTAAACTTTTATTAGAACAATACAATAAAAAACAAGTGTTTCAAAATAATTTACTGTTTTATAAATAAATAATTTAAATATATGATAAGAGATAGTAGAAAAAGCTTTGAATTTTATAACCTGGCAAAATATGATATAAAGTCATTTAGCAGCTGTTTAACCCCTTAAGGACCAAACTTCTGGAATAAAAGGGAATCATGACGTGTCACACATGTCATGTGTCCTTAAGGGGTTAAATATTGAATATGCTGAAGAATGTGTCTTTTTAGAACTTTGCACGTTGTAGTAGTCATTGTTGGACAGAAAAGATTTGGACAAGTTCGAAGGTTGTGCTTCCCTCCAGTGGTGGAAAATTAGCAGATTTTGAAAGATTTTTTATATAACATTAACAGACTGTGAGGATTTTTGGAGGAGACGGCGTCTCATCCGAGAGGAGAGTTAAGCAACCAGTTGTAGATTCTTGAGTTGAGCAATCATACAGATAATAGGGTGTTCAGTATTAAATGTACAAATATCCAACCATGTATATATATAAAGTCTACACAGTAGGTAATGAGGGAGCTTATTCTACCTGAGAAAAGTTGTAAAGATCGTCAGTATTAGGAAGCATTGTTGTGGTTTGCGAGCAAATTCTAGAAGATGTCTCAATGGAACTCTGTAATTGAAAGAAGAAAGAAAAATTGCAACGACTGATAACAAACAGCCAATACCTTAGTGTTTAAAAAGGAGCTTAAATATAAGAGTATGCTTGTGGTTATGTGATGTTTTATAGGTTTGTGGAATTGCTATCGTGTTAGTGATTATCTTGTCTCATGTGTCCTTCTGTATAATTTTCTGACGATTCACTTATCTTTGAGCACTTTCATTTAATTTTTACCTTATGATGCTAATGATGTAGTAGAAATATGTGATATGTAGAAACTAAAAACGTGTATTTAATGAATACTATGATAGAATAAAATAATAGTAGCAATTCATTATGCAAGTGCTTAGAAAAATTGTCTGTTTTTTTAGAGTGTTTCAAATGAAAGTGTTGAGGAAAGACAGAAACTATAGGATTAAATGAATTTATGAAACCCACCATCGGGTTGAAGGTCTGAAGGATCTGCTTGCTTAGATATTCCTGCTAAGGACGGAACCATTTGCAATTTTGTGAATAGATAAGAGAGACCAGACTTGAGAAAAACAGAAATCTACATAAAACCGTGAGGATCATTATTATCTCTTGATGTTTGACCTTGTTCTATTTTTTATAGGACGTCTGAGCTCTACAGGTCTCCATCCTTCTAACTTGCTTATATTCTTGCAGAAATCGATGATGAACGCAATCAGAAAATTCTTATACACTTTCCAAACATATGTATTGCCTCCAAATTGCACTTTCATTATACTTTCGTTTTTCGTTCAGTGTCCAGCAGAGGGACTTTTCACAAGATTTGTGATACAGTGATTTTTAGAAAGTAATTTTTTTTTATTTTTTTTTCACATAACTTACTTCATGGAAAATATTCATCTGACTGTCATCATATTAGATGAAAAGAGGACTTGGAGATTGTTTGGGGATCATGTTGAAAAGTGTCCTCTTTATAATTTCATACAGTGTTAATACCTAACGGCTTAGATTTTCAGTGGTATATTGTCTCCTTTACTTCCCTCTACTTACACCCGAACTGGTCATCGGTCAAACTGGGTAAAAGGTCATGGACCGAGGCCGGCAGGGGTCGACAGGAGGAGCCCACTATCACTGAACCACCACGTCTTGCAAAGTACTCCCCTCCCTGACCAATGGCAGGAAGGGGGTGGGGGGACATAACACTTTATTTATTATAAAAATAATTTTTAAAAATGTACATTTGCTTATTTATCACCCACACACACAATATAGACCCTATGCATCCCTTACACACACTGCACCCTTCACACACTGCATTCCTTACACACACACTGTACTCCTCAAACACACACTGCACCCCTCACACACACTGCACCCCACACACACTGCACCCCTCACACTGCACTCTTACACACACTGCACCCTCTCACACGCACTGCATTCTCACACTCTGCACCGCTCATGGGTGGGGGCCAGGGGGGAGGACAGTAGGTCCCAACTCCCTTATTAGTATTTGGGGCCCCCACCCACCGCTCAGGGGTGGGGGCCAGGGGGGAGGACATTAGGCCCCCCCCTTATTGTAATTTAGGGCCCCTACCAACCGCTCAGGGGTGGGGGCCAGGGGGGAGGACATTAGGTCCCTCCCTTATTAGTATTTAGGGCCCTCACCCACCGCTCAGGGGTGGGGGCCAGGGGGGAGGACATTAGGCCCCCCTTATTAGTATTTAGGGCCCCCACCCACCTCTCAGGGGGGAGGACATTAGGTCTCCCTTATTCTAATTTAGGGCCCCCACCCACCGCTCAGGGGTGGGGGCTAAGGGGGAGGACATTAGGCTGTGATTAAAAATGTCTATGCCAAAAAAATTTAACAGTCCTGTCCTGCCTCTTCTCCATTTCTACAGAACAAAAAAAAAAAAACCAACACAAGTAGTAAAGGTAGAACTCCTCATAAAAAATTAGAGAGACTCACCTTCACTTCACCACCAATTAAAAGATCATTCAACATTAGAAGATAGTTTGAAACACTTTAATAGGAGAATGGTTTCTAAACATATGCAAAAACGAAAGAAAAATAGACAACGTGCAAGTGCTACAGGTGTGAAAAGTGCAGTATAGAAAAATTGGACTGAAAACTGACTCACAAATTCTCTTAAATTCAGTATTATCTATAGGGATAGGTGGGTTGGCAAGAATGTATAAGATTCACTTTCTTTCTAATAAGTATGTAGGTACTTTTTAAAAAGAAACTTTCACAAACTGAAATAGCCATATTAATATATACAGTTTGATTGTGCTTTATTGTAAATGTTTGCGTTTTTAGTGTTTGTTTGGACACATTTACCATTGTAACTTTCGTTACCAACATAAATATGAAACTCATCATCTATTTATCAAATTCTGGTGTTTGACAACTTCAGTCTATAATCACACTGTGCATTCAGACGCCCTCTAGAGTTTTGTTTTATATATTACAACTATTTTGTGCAGCTCTAGTAATGTTAGACTTGCAGAACGAAATTTAATTCTGGAATCACAGGGTGAGTAAACAGTCAATTATGTGTTGTTTTTGTTTAGGGAAAACATTTTCACAACATAAATAAAAAACCTGAAATCTATGCAGGGTGAAATTATGTATATTTTTAAAGGATATATATAGGTTTGTTTTTTTGGAAGAAATTTTTACTTTTTTATCTCACTGAACAGACATTTTGTGATCAGATTCTATTGTTATTTGACCAACTTCTGCTCAATCTAACTTTCCTGCAGCTGCGATTCCTATGTGTGAACCTGCAGCAACAGGCAAGTTAGGTTGAGAACAGTTGAATCTGCTAGCTATATAAAAAAATGAAATTTTCTGAAAAATAAAACCAATATACAGTATTAAAGAAAAATCATTAAGTGTATTAGCTATAAAAAAAAAAACTTTAAAGGAAAATTAAGTGAAAATATGATGACCGTTGTCTTTTAACTACCGATAAACACAAGGTTTCACTAACATGACTCTCATAAAAATATATCGACATCAACTTTTATTTTATTAAAAAATCTTTTTTTAGAACAATACAATAAAAACAAATGTTTAAAAATATTTTACTGTTTCATAAATAAATAATATAAATAAATAATACGAGATGGTAGAAAAAGCTTTGAATATTGTAACATGGCAAAATATGATATGAAGTCATTTAACAGTTCTTTAAATCTTGAATATGCCAAAGAATGCATCTTTTTATAACTTTGCACGTTGTTGTAGTCAATGTTGGACAGGGACGATTTGAACACGTGCGAAGGTTGTGCTTCCTTCCAGTGGTGGAATATTAGCAGATTTTGAAAGATTATTTTATATAACATTATCAGACTGTGAGGATTTCTGGAGAAGACGGCTTCTCATCCGAAAGGAGAGTTGAGCAACCAGTTGTAGATTCTTCTTTATAGTGAGTTGAACAATCATGTGAACACAACTATCATCCTAAAAATATGAAAAAAGAGACACTCACACAAATGGAATTGTATACAGAGCAGGGAAATGATGTAGATATGGAAAAAGTACAACAGAGAAAGGGAAATGTTCAATAGCTGGTATTTCATAAGCAGTCATATTTAGGGTAGACATTCCTTCTTCCATACAAGAACTCTGTAGGATCATATATACAGTGGGACCCAGATAAGCAATATCATTTTCTCTTATAGCTCTACAACATTATTATGGAGTTCCCATTTAATAGCCACAATGTCTATTTTATTAGATGACCCTGAGTAGAGAGGTCACAGGTATGGAATGTTGTAGAAAAGACAACGACTTTGGGGATACGAGTAAGTGGACAACATTAAACAGTATAAACTGCCAGATGGCAGGTTGTTATTTACTCTTTTTAAAGTTTTTGTCAATTGAATGTATCTTCTAATTTTTGTTATTTATATTCCTGCAGTTATAAATTGCTATAAGTAACACCTCCACATATCTTGAGTAGATTTTTTTCAAGATAGATTGTTTTAGAATTTTTGAGGTTCAAGAAGAGAACAAAATACTGAGAAAAGCATGGTCAGTAACATCTTAGAAAAAAGTGACTTACCTTTTCATTTACAATCTGTTCTAGTACATTGAAGTATTCTGATAATCTTTGTTTAATTTGAGAATTCTCAGCTCCCTCTGGGATCTAGTAAACATTAAAGAAACCATGATTAATACAACATTCTCATCACATTCTAGTAACATTGATACGGAACAGAAATAACTATAGGGGATACTTACACAATCATTCAGCTGGTTTTCCTGGTAATTTAGAAGCTCGTGCAATCTCTCCCAAACTTTTTTATTGCATTTGAGCTTTTCATTGTGTTTTTTATAGAACCCGATTGTTTGCTTGGTAACTTCACTTGCAATGATGATCGCATCTTCATCCTGAAATTTATGGAATTTTAACATCTACAAGAAGGGCCAGTCTGTGTTTCACCAAACTGTGGAGTGTACCTGATCAGTTTCTCTTTCCTTAAATCTGGTCTACTAAACTCATTGGATAATTTATTATAAATCGTTACTATAGAATATGGAGTGATCAAATTAGCAATACTTTTCAAACTAACTTCTATCAATTTCAATGTTTGGAAAATGAAACATTGTTACAGCTAATGGAGTGTTTAGTATTAAATACACCTACATTCCACCAGGTATATGTAAAGTCTACACAGTAGGTAATGAGGGAGCTTATTCTACCTGAGAAAAGTTGTAGAGATCGTCAATATTAGGAAGAATTGTTGAGCTTTGTGAGCAAATTCCAGAAGATGTCCCAAATGAACTCTGAAATTGAAAGAGGAAAGAACAAATTCTATAATTGATTTTAAAAAAATCGAACCTTATTGTTTAAGAATGAGCTAAAATATAAGAGTATGCTTGTGGTTATGTGGTGTTTTATATGTTTGTGGAATTGCTAACTAGTTAGTGACTATCTCGTGTCATGTGGCCTCCTGTATAATGTTCTGAACATTCACTTGGCTTTGAGCACTTCCATTTAAATTTTTTATCTTATGATGCTAAAGATGCAGTAGATATATGTGATATGTAGAAACTAAGCAAGTGTATTTAATTAATACTATGATAGAATAAAATAATAGTAGTAATTAATTATGCGGGTGCTTAGAAAATATTGTCTGTTTTAGTGTGAATCATATGAAAGTGTTGAGAAAAGAGAGAAATAATACGATTGAATTAATTTATGAAACCCACCATCTGGTTGAAGGTCTGAAGGATCTGCTTGCTTAGATATTCCTGCTGAGGACGGAGCCATTTGCAGTTTTGTGAATAGATGACAGAGACCAGACTTGAGAAGAAGAGAATTCTCCATGAAACAATGAGAGTCTTCATTATCTCTTGATATCGGACCTTGTTCTGTTTCTATAGGATGCCTGAGCTCTACTGGTCTCCATCCTTCTAACTTGCTTATATTCTTGCAGAAAATGACGATGAATGCAATCAGAAAATTCATATACAATTTCCAAATCAATGTATTGTCTCCACATTCCACTTTCTTTATACTTTCATTTTTCGATCAATGTCCAGCAGGGGGACTTTTCACAAGATTTGTGAAAGAGTAATTATTAGAAAGTAAAATTTTGGTTTTATTTTCACATAACTTACTTCATGGAAAATATTAAAGTTTTAAACAAGTCTCATATGAAATTTTTTTTTTCTACTTCCTGCCCATGAGCAGTAAAAGTGCCCTGCTTAACATTTATTTATTTAATCTGTGAATTAGATGAACTTTACCTAGAGTATGACCTTGACTATGAAAAAAAGAAATATAACTGTCAACATTGTTGTCACATTTTTTCGAAGTAATAGACTGTCATCAAATTAGATGAAAAGGGAATTTGCATGTAGTCTATGCAGGGTGAAATGATGCATATATATATATATTATTCTTTATTTTGGTTTTGAATCAGAGATATTATTATTAATACAAATGAATTGTCACAAGCATGCAGCTGAATATTCTTCTAAGAATCAACACTGAGCAAAATGCTAATTTTTTAAGATAATCAAAAATAAAATATCAACTGAACTATGCTAATGACCCCTTTGTGAAGATGGGTGGGAAAAGCAATTATAATGAAATAAATATCAACTTGAGATGGTTAGTACTCGTTGCCTCTCCCATGGGTTATTGCCTTGCCACTACCTATCCTAAAAAAAGGTTAGGCAGACAAATAAAAATGTAAGCTTAAACAGACGTCCATCATTAGAAATACAGGCAGGGACCCCAGAAGATTATTGCTAATAGACAGATCAAACTGAGAGCTAGGGCAGGAGAGCATAGTGTATCTGAGTAATAAAAAAATGATGGAATGGTGGGGGGACAATCAACTAAATCCCAGGTGTAACATTGGCCTGCAGAGCCAGTTAATGGTAGGTATGGTAGCATCTAGGAGGAAGCATGTCAAGTAGCAAGTCCCACTGCCGCAGAGGTTCTGGGATCTGGGACAAAGGGCATGATGGTGTCAGTGCTCCATTGGGGACGTGCCTGCATTGGTAAGGAGTTGGCAGGTAGGCACAAGAGGAATGCAGATGATTCCATCACAGATTGAAGGGTGTGTGTTTTCCTCATTCTTTTCACCATAAGTATTAAAGGGCCCCACCGATAAGTAATCTCCTTCTCTCTCAGCAGCTTGGTAATGGGAGGAAGGGACTTTCACCAAGCAACTGTGTGCCTGGATAGATCCGTATAGAAGGGGAGTTGTGACCACTCAAAAGCCAAGGTGAGAGAGCCCCTGATTGTCCCCAACAGCGCTGTCTACATGTTATGTTTCAGTCAGCTGAATAGTTTAGTAACCCAAAAAAAAAAGCCAACACAAGTAGTGAAGGTAGATCTCCTCATAAAAATTAGGGATACTAAGGGGGGGCCCTTATTAGTATTTAGGGACCCCACCCACCACTCAGGGGTGGGGCCTAGGGGGGAGGACATAATGTGACGAAACCGGCCTCGCCACGTGTCCTTGGAGGGGGCTGCTTGCCCGCCTCTTGCCTCTGGACTATGGACCAGACTTTATGTGTATGTATTAACCCAGATAGCTATGCCATGGAGCCCATTCGTGTAGTTAAAGACTTCGGCTCCATGGCAATTGAACTGTGTGAATAGGATCTGAGCGCTATTCGGTAGTTTTGTGCGCTCAGATCCCAGCTATCTGGGGATATGTGACATGTCTGTGTTTTATGTATAAAATGTGACTTTGTGTATTTTATAATATTTTAATGCTTTGTGCTCACCATGTGCATAATGGAGTCTTATGTCTGTCCTGGGAGATAATTGAATTACTTCTCAATTCAATCTCCAGGATAGAAGACTCTGAAACTGGTTTGGGCCAGAAAGCCATGCTTCATTTAGTCACAAAGGACTTTCCCTTAACTTTTGAACCCCTAGTCTGATTCGTGCCATTTTTTAATATGTTGTTCCCCTGAATGGATTGATTATGAAAATGTATGTTTTATGTTTGTGACATGTATATTTTAGAAGTTATAAATATTGTGTAAAAACTGTATTCCTCTGCCGGTGATAATGAGATTACCCATTGTGTTCAGTAATCATATCACAGGCAGAGGGGAGGAGTTTGTGTGGGAGTGTCTGGGTGTATTGTACGGATTGATTGGTTGTTTTGTAACGCCCTGTGGGCTGTACTATGTTTGTGGATTGGGAATAAAAGAGACTGTATGTGACAGTACAGTGAGTTCCTGTTTTAACCCTCAAAGTGAAGTGTCGTCTCATTATTGGGGGAAGGATTTATTGTATGCTGTTCCAGTTTGACTGCTAGGAGAGTAAACCTATTCGTATGGTTCCTATTCAACTGTCTACAGCATTCATATGCTTGAGAGGATTCATATGCTTCTCCGGTTCGGTGGTTGTGGTGTCTGCTGCAGTTCTTGGAGTCCTCAGGAAGCACTATGAGCATCCTTTAACGGAGGTACCCAGTCGGGGTGCCAGGCGATCCGTTACACATTAGGTCCCCCCATTATTCTAATTTAGGGCCCCCACCCACCGCTCAGGGGTGGGGGCCAGGGGGAAGGGCATTAGGTCCCCCACCTTATTAGTATTTAGGGCCCCCATCCACCGCTCAGGGGTGGAGGCCAGGGGGAAGGACATTAGGTCCCTCCTTATTCTAATTTAGGGCCCCCACCCACCGCTCAGGGGTGGGGGCCAGGGGGGAGGACATTAGGTCCCCCCCTTATTATAATTTAGGGCCCCACCCACCGCTCAGGGGTGGGGACCAGGGGGAGGATAATAGGTACCCCCCATCATTTTACTTTAGGGCCCCCACCCGCCGCTCTGGGGAGGGCAATAGGTCCCCCCTTTAGTTGGGAGGGGGGACCCTTTTTTTAACAGTGAGCAGCCACAGGCCGATTTAGGTCTTTTAAGCCTTTTGGTAGATAACTCCCTAATACTGTGGGAATTAAGCAGTTATCTACTAAGCGGATGCAAGAGAAGTGCCGAAGTCCTGAATTGCGGAAGTCCTGAATTTCGGAATCCCGAACCGAAAATTTTCCCCATGCACATGCCTACCAGACATATTATAACACAAACAAAACACAACTGAAACTGAAACACAAAAACACCACACCACAATCAACTCACTCTACAAACACGCAGTCCCACAAGCAGCCTCCAAACACATGTACAGTACGCTTTCCTGACCCTTGTGTCATCTGCATCCAACCTAAAGAGACACCAGAGACAAGTCACAAGCAAACGCAGCACAAGTGCGCCATTAAATTCAGTTGCTCTGTGCACGGCCTTTTTCTCATTCGAAAGCTCTTCACCAGGGCTCTACCCACCTATACCTTCCCCCTATCCCCCTTCCGCCACAGGGTTGCTGTGATTAAAAATGTCTACGCCAAAAAATTTTACCAGTCCGGTCCTGCCTCTTCTCCATTTCTACAGAACAAAAAAAAAAAAAGCCAACACAAGTAGTGAAGGTAGAACTCCTCATAAAAAATTAGGGAGACTCACCTTCACTAGAATTACCACCAATTAAAAGAACATTTAACATTAGAAGATAGTTTGAAAGACTTTAATAGGAGAATGGTTTCCAAACATATGCAAAAACTAAAGAAAAATAGACAACGTGCAAGTGCTACAGGTGTGAAAAGTGCAGTATAGAAAAATTGGACTGAAAACTGACTCACAAATTCTCTTAAATTCAGTATTATCTATAGGGAGAGGTGGGTTGGCAAGAATGTATAAGATTCACTTTCTTTCTAATAAGTATGTAGGTACTTTTTAAAAAGTAACTTTCACAAACTGAAATAGCCATATTAATATATACAGTTTGATTGTGCTTTATAGTAATTGTTTGCGTTTTTAGTGTTTGTTTGGACACATTTACCATTGTAACTTTCGTTACCAACATAAATATGAAACTCATCATCTATTTATCAAATTCTGGTGTTTGACAACTTCAGTCTATAATCACACTGTGCATTCAGACGCCCTCTAGAGTTTTGTTTTATATATTACAACTATTTTGTGCAGCTCTAGTAATGTTAGACTTGCAGAACGAAATTTAATTCTGGAATCACAGGGTGAGTAAACAGTCAATTATGTGTTGTTTTTGTTTAGGGAAAACATTGTCACAACATAAATAAAAAACCTGAATCTATGCAGGGTGAAATTATGTATATTTTTTATAGGATATATATATAGATTTGTTTTTTTGGAAGAAATTCTTACTTTTTTATCTGACTCAACAGACATTTTGTGATCAGATTCTATTGTTATTTGACCAACTTCTGCTCAATCTAACTTTCCTGCAGCTGCGATTGCTATGTGTGAACCTGCAGCAACAGGCAAGTTAGGTTGAGAACAGTTGAATCTGCTAGCTATATAAAAAAATGAAATTTTCTGAAAAATAAAACCAATATACAGTATTAAAGAAAAATCATTAAGTGTATTAGCTATAAAAAAAAAACTTTAAAGGAAAATGAAATGAAAATATGATGACCGTTGTCTTTTAACTACCGATAAACACAAGGTTTCACTAACATGACTCTCATAAAAATATATCGACATCAACTTTTATTTTATTAAAAAAACTTTTATTAGAACAATACAATAAAAACAAATGTTTAAAAATATTTTACTGTTTCATAAATAAATAATATAAATAAATAATACAAGATGGTAGAAAAAGCTTTGAATATTGTAACATGGCAAAATATGATATGAAGTCATTTAACAGTTCTTTAAATCTCGAATATGCCAAAGAATGCATCTTTTTATAACTTTGCACGTTGTTGTAGTCAATGTTGGACAGGGACGATTTGAACACGTGCGAAGGTTGTGCTTCCTTCCAGTGGTGGAAAATTAGCAGATTTTG